ATAGAGACAAGGGGTTCGATTTGGGGCTTGCAGAATTTTATGTTTTTTATGTTTCTAGGGAACAGCCAGGCAGAAATACCAAGTGGGCATTTGACTTTGGGGGGAGGGAGTCTCAGGCTTGGGTGTGTGATTAGGGGGCCACTCAGTACCCTGTAGCCACATCTGGAGCTTGGGAAAAGATGGGTTCTCCTAGCGGGACTGTGGTAGGGACAGCATCCCTGGGTGTAGTTTGTCCGTGTGTGTCTGAGTGTCTCTGGTCTGCATGTGTGTATATGTGTGCATGCCTGGCTCTGGGTCATGAAGTTCCCCCATTTCCTGGGAGAACCTGCAGGTCAGCTGGGAGCTGGGTTGTTTTTGTTTGTGGTTTGACCCTGGGAGGGGGGGGTGCCAAGCCTGAGAACCTACCCGCTGAGAAGCCCCCGGAAACACCTGCAAGTCCTCTTTCCCTGGGGCCCAACGAGGAGAGTTTGCAAGGCGAGCTGTCTCTTGCTTCTCTTGTGCCTGCAGGGGGAGGCTGTCCCTGGAAAGAATCTTATCCAGTAAGTCTATCCAGTAAGTCGATTGACAGCACACCTTCTAGGTCTAGGATCCAGGGACTTCGTGGGAGGCTTGGCAGAGGGGAAAAGGGGTGTGTAGAAAGGACACCTTCGGAGGAGATTGCCAGCCTTCTGGTTGGTTTTTCCTGTTCTCTCTCATTTCCTGTGATGGCCGTGGGGGAGGGGCCCCCCAGCCATGGGGCCTCTGCATCGTTTCCCTTTCCTTCTGGTGACCTCCTGGGGGCCCAGGCCTGAGTGCCACCGGATGTGCAGAGACAAGGTAGCTGTGATCAGCCCTTAGGACTGAGTCCTTTGGGGATTCCCAAGGAGTGGAAGGGACTGTTACTTGCCTTGGCATTTAGGGGAGGGAACCCCAAGTCCCCTCCACTCCACTTGGATGGGGCCAGCTGGCTGTGGGAGTCTGGTTGCATTCCTACGGAGGGCTGAGACCTTCAAACGGGAGACACCAGTGGTGGGTCCTGGGGTGCTCCCAGTCCCCAAGCTGCAGACTGGAGAGAGTGGGATATTGTCTTGGCAGGTCGGTTTCACTGGAAGAGTTTTTTGTTTTGTTTTGTTTAAGGGGAAGAAGTAATTTCCATGGGAAGTTAATTCAGACAAGCAGGGCTAGATATTGGAGTATAAGGCAGATGTAGGTGACTTTTTAAGACTAAGCAGGAGACATGAAAGAGGCGTGAAGCCAAGGTGGCTCCAGGTCCCACAGCCATGACTGGAGGCAGGGGACTTCTGCTGGTGGGGGTTTCTGAGGGAAAGTCTGAGCTGGTCCTTTTTGGGAGAGGAGGGACTTAGGAAAGTCCTGGGGCTGGGAATCCGGGCCAGTGGCGGAGCAGGCCTGTTCCCTGGAGTGTCCTGGTCAGCTGGGCCCTGGAGCGAGGGCTTGCAACTACTGTGTGTGTGTGTGGGGGGTGTGTGTGTGTGTGTGTGTGTGTGTGTGTGTGTGTGTGTGTGTGTACACGCCCGGCGGTGTGCCTGTGGGTGTGCTTGGAGGGAAGGAGGAGGAAGCAGAGCCACTGTGCAGACAGTCTCGCACACACAAAGGCACACAGATGCGAGCCCTGTGAATCACCCAGCCAGTGAGTCAGCCCCCAGGATTCCTGTCGGGGAGCGATCGAGGCTGGGCAGAGGTCTGGCGGTCCATCTGTCGGTCTGCTTGAGTGTGTAGGTGGGTTGTAGGAGGTAGTGGGGAAGGTGCCTGCAGTGTCCTGGGAGAGCTTTTGGGAAGAGTGGTGGGAGTCTCCAAGCATCAGGACAAGGGCTTGGGCCTCTCTGTCTTGTGCAAAGAAGCCTCCTGGGGATGTGCCCCCTACACATAGGGCTCCCAGGGCTGGGGCGGGAGGGCCTGGGACACCCCGAAAGGTAAGTGGGAGAGGCGACAATTGTAGCCTCATGCCTGCCACTGAGAGCTTTCTGTTTCCCGTTCCAGGCTGTCTGTGCCCGGCGTCCGGAGAACCCCTATACCCACCATGACGGGGCTGCTGAAAAGGAAGTTGGACCAGCTGGAGGACGACGACTCCTCACTCTGCTCGTCTTCCTCATCTTTGTCCTCGGGCCACCACTCTGGCCCCTGCTCCCCAAGCTCTTCACTCTCCCCGGCCTGGGACTTGGAAGAGGAGGGCCCCTGGGATCAGATGCCCCTGCCTGACCGCAATGTCTCTGGCCCCCGAAGTTTCACCCGTGAGTCCTCACTCCCGTGGGAGCCCCACATGCCGCTTCTTTTTTCCTAACAATGGAATTGGGAGGCCTGTGACAGAGCCGCCCTGGCCTCTGGAGGCTGTGTCCCCATGGCTTTAGCTCCCCACCTCGTCTGCTTCCCGGTATACCGTGGTCACTTAGGAATGCCCACTCTCCAGAAGCACTTGGCCCTGGCTCCATCCACCTTTGACCTTGGGACTCCCTGCTTGGAAGTCATGACATTTTCCCGAGAGTGGCCCTCAGCCTTCCTGCCCAGGCCCCTCCCTTCTGCTCCAGTTTCGTTTCTCCAGCTTTCACCCTGTCCTTCCAGCTGCTGTGCCAGAGTCCCACGCCCGCACCTCTCCGCTGCGAGGCTGTCAGGCCAGTCCCTCTCCTGTCAAAATGTGCTTGGCTTTGCCTGAGCGGAGTGAAAAGTTTTTTCCCCCGGTTACTTTTCAAGCTGGCAGATCCTGATTCCAAACTGGAGCAGTTTCTAAACCTTGCTTTTTATTATCACTCCCCTGCCCCAAGGAGCCTTTTTAGATCTTTTCCTCATCACCCCCACCTGGTATTTTACAACCACGGATATGATGTTTATTTATGTACCATTTGTATATCTGCATTATACATAAAAAAGTAGGATTTTTAGCATGTAGAATTTACTGACGGAACAACTATGGGTTTATCCTGGAAGTGCAAGGATGGTTTAATATTATAAAACCCAATCTCATAGTTTACTAACTGACTTTGTCGGAGGAAAAACTTAAGGGCTACTCTAGATGCTGAAAGAATATTTTATAAAACGTAATGTTCCTTCTAGATAAGACTCTTCGTAAGATAGAAATAAGTGAGTTCTACTTAAGTGGTTTAAAAATATGTTTCATCGCAAAAGCTGATTCTGAATAATAAGGAAATATTGGAAGCTTTTCCCACTAAGTCAGGAATAAGATGAGTATGCCGTCTGCCACCACTGTTAGCTAATGTTGTTCAGAAAGTGCTGGACAGTTCAGGTTGCAGAGAGAATAAGAATTCTATGCATTGCATTGGGACAGGCAGAATTGCCATTGATGTCTCTAATATCATATATAAAGAGCTCCTACAAATCAATATAAAAAAGTAGAAAACTGTACAAAGGACCTATAATTGGCTGATAAAGGTGGGAAAGATGTTTAATCTTACAAATGCTCTCATTTCGGCTGGTAATAACAATCAGCCAGTGTTGACATAGGGGTGGTGTTCAATTTTACCAGTTCTCGTCCCAGCCAGGCTGGCTCCTAAAATTTAAATCCATTTCTTTTCTGGGGGTGTGAGGATAGAGGAGAAGGTGTGAGGAGAGACCATTCAGCATCATCTTCTCTGGGGTCGTGCTGTGCCTTACGGAGAACTCATGCCCTGCCCTCTCCCTGCCTGCCTTCCAGCCCCGTCCATCCTGAAGCGGGCTCCCCGGAAGCGCCCAGGGCGCGTAGCCTTCGATGGCACCACCGTTTTCTACTTCCCTCGGTGCCAGGGCTTCACCAGCGTGCCCAGCCGTGGAGGCTGCACTCTGGGTATGGCCCCTCGCCACAGCTCCTGCCGCCGCTTCTCCTTGGCCGAGTTTGCACAGGAGCAAGCCCGGGCCCGGCACGAGAAGCTCCGCCTACGCTTGAAGGAGGAGAAGCTGGAGGTGCTTCGATGGAAGGTAGGGAGACCCCTCCAGGGCCCACAGTGGGGCAGGTGCTGGTTTGCTCACTATGTATTTGGGGAAGGAGACCCACGGGACCAATGATGGCTTGATCAGGGTCTGTTGCCTGGATTATCTGCAGGCAGAATGGGTCGTGGAAGGGCTGGTTCACTGCAGCGCCTGGGGCCTAGGGCCTGAATCTCCCACCTCCCTGGGGAAGGGATACAGAATTGACCGACACTGGGGATCAGTGTATCTGGCTGGGTGAGGGCATTTGTCCGTGAAATGGGGGATGACATGAACAGGAAATCTCTCTGCAAATGCCCCTAGGGCAGTGTTCTTGGCTGTCCTGGTCACTGTGGTATCCACTGTGCTCAGCCCATAGCAGCACATGGGGAGCGATTGCCGAGTGACTGATGGCTGTGGGGACTGAGACCACCTGTCTGTGCCTCTCACATCCCTCTCTCCTATGGATGCAGCTTACAGAGGCTGGGGTACCTGAGACGGAGGCTGGCCTGCCACTGACAGTGGACGCCATTGATGATGCCTCTGTGGATGAGGAGCTGGCAGTGGCCGTGGCAGGCGGCCGGTTGGAGGAAATGACCTTCCTTCAGCCCTACCCCGCCCGGAAGCGGCGGGCTCTGCTGCGGGCTGCTGGTGTGCGGAAGATAGATCGAGAGGAGAAGCGGGAGCTGCAGGCTCTGCGCCAATCCCGGGAGGACTGTGGCTGTCGCTGCGATAGGGTCTGTGACCCTGAGACCTGCAGCTGCAGCCTGGCAGGCATCAAGTGCCAGGTATGGTGGTCAGTGGTCGGGCTGGGCTGGGAAGGGGAGGCTGAGGTTGGGGGCTTCTCTGGGCTCCTCAGGATCCTCACTCATGCCTCTACCTTCTCTGCAGATGGACCACACAGCGTTCCCCTGTGGCTGCTGCAAGGAGGGCTGTGAGAACCCCAAGGGCCGCGTGGAATTTAATCAGGCGCGGGTTCAGACCCATTTCATCCACACGATCACCCGCCTGCAGCTGGAGCAGGGGGCTGAGAGCCTGGGGGAGCTGGAGGCCCCTGCCCAGAGTGGCCCACCCAGCTCTGGTGGGCAGGTCCTGACCCCCACTTTCCCACTGGCCAAGCCCCCCGTGAGCAGCGAGCTGGGAGACCACAGCTGCAGCAGCGACATGACTGACTCTTCCACAGCATCAGGCACTAGCGAGCCTCACGATGACCCTGCCCACCCAGCCCTGCCTGGCCCCGGCTTCCAGCCTGATGTGGATGACGACAGCTTAGAGTGGATCCTGAGATTAAGTGACTCTGACCTGGGCGGAGAGGAAGAGGAGGAGGAAGCGGGTGTGGGGAACCTCGACAACTTCAGCTGCTTCCACTTAGGCGATATCTTTGGTTCTGGTGACCCCGGTGGCCTGTCCAGCTGGACCCATGGCTATTCCAGCTCTAGCCTCACGTCAGGCATCCTGGATGAAAATGCCAACCTGGATGCCAGCTGCTTCCTAAACGGTGGCCTGGAAGGATTGGGAGGAAGTAGCCTCCCTGGCACCTCTGCGCCACCCAGCGCAGACGCCGGCCAGGGCAGCTCAGTGGACCTCAGCCTGTCTTCCTGTGACTCCTTTGAGCTGCTCCAGGCCCTGCCAGACTACAGTCTGGGGCCTCACTACACCTCTCGGAAGGTGTCTGACAGCTTGGACAACCTTGAGGCACCCCACATTCCCTTCCCTGCCCTTTCCCCGCCTGGAGACACCAGCGTTTGCTTCTTTGAATCCATCATGGGCTTGTCTGAGCCGGCTGCCGAGGGCCTGGTTTCCTTCATGGACAGCCAGTTGTTTGAGGACACTGCCCCAGCATCACTGGTGGAGCCTGTGCCCGTGTGAGGACTAGGCTGCCTTTTCTGGGCCCTGAAAGCCCTGTTGCTGCTGTGCCATAATTTGGGGGCTCCCCGGGGTCCGTATGTAGCTGTCTCCCATTGCCTGGCTCACCCATGTGGGCACTCCTAATTTTCATGCAACACTCTGGATTGATTTTTTATTTATTTTTATTAACTTTCTGAGTTGAAGAAAGTGTGAGAGGGGGCTCCCCCCCTTCAGCTGCCCGGTGCCCACAGTTTCTTCCACTTCCATGGCGCATGCCAAGAAGAGGAGGGCATGATGTTTCTTAGCCCTAAGACAGCAAGACAGGGCTGGAAACATCTACCTCTCCCAGCTTCTGCCACCATGAGCCCTACCCCCCTGGGTGGCTGAACCCTCTGGACTGTGAAGACTATAATTTATTTCCATAATTTATTTGGAGACTAGGTGGCTTAGGCTTCTCATCCCTGGCTGGTAGGCAATACTGAGGTCGGGGTGGGGCACAGACCCCACGAGTCCCTTTTGCCTTGTCCTGCAGGCCTGCCCTGCCTGGTCTTAGGTGTAGACCAGATATGGATTCACACCCTGTGTCTACCCTGGCAGCTGCCTGGCTCTGGATGGCTGAGCAGGCAGAGGCTAGCCTAGGACAGTGTCTGGGCAAGGGAGGGACTAGGCTGACCAACCATGACCAAAACCCTCTTCTGCTCCACTCAGCCCCCTCCACTTCCTGTCCTCTGCCCCATCTCCCCTCCCCCAAGGGCCACAGCCTTTAGTCCTGGCCCATCTATGTAGGAAGGGGAAGAAGGCCTAGAGAGGGCAAGGGGCTTGCCTCAGGGCCCACAGCATGCCCTTGAAGACTATCTCAGGGCTTTCTGGGCACTGCACTCCAGCCTGGCCCACCTGCCTGTGTCCTTGGTCAGTTGGCCAGGGCAAGGGGTGGCACCTTAGGGCTTTTATGCCCATTTGCTGATGTTGAATTTTGCATCCTAATTTCTATATTGTCCCTGAATATTAGAGCTATAATTTATTCATTTTTCTCTGTGTCTGTGCCAAGGAGCCCAGGCTCTGGACCAGCCTTCTTACCCAGGAGGCCTTGTCAGCCTGTGTGCTTGTGGGAACACCTTATACCTGAACTTACAGGTACCAATAAAAAGGCTCTATTTTTAATGGTGTGGTCTGCATTTGTGGGACATCTGGGAACACAGGTACACCCTCAGGAGGCAGTGGGGAGAAAGGTGGAGACTGGCCCTGCACAGCACTGGGTGCAGAGCCTGTGTTGGGGGTGGGAATGAGGGACATAACATTTTGGGCCTCCTTCCATGCAGGCCAGCGAAGAGGCAGGTGGGGCACAAGGATCCGTTTTCCCTTTGGAAGAACCCATCTCCAGTGGTCGTCTAGGGTGGATAGCCTCTGAGATAAGCTAAGTGCTTGGATAGGTGAGGGCTCACTCCCACTCACCATTAGAGCTGGGGCCTCTAATGGTGAAGTCACCGCCCCTCCCCCAGGTTGGAGGCAGCCAGTGGGATGGGCTGGGGAGCGGCCTTATGTGGGGCTGAGCTGCTGAGGTCCCTGGGGACTTGAGCACCAAACACCGGAAGCAGTAGAACTTCATCCATCTGCACCAGCCAGACCTGTCTGACCTGTCCCTGGCAGCCTGGGCTGCAGGCCAGGGGAGCAGGCTGCACTCTGCCCTGNCACGTTGAGCTGGGGCCTCTAATGGTGAAGTCACCGCCCCTCCCCCAGGTTGGAGGCAGCCAGTGGGATGGGCTGGGGAGCGGCCTTATGTGGGGCTGAGCTGCTGAGGTCCCTGGGGACTTGAGCACCAAACACCGGAAGCAGTAGAACTTCATCCATCTGCACCAGCCAGACCTGTCTGACCTGTCCCTGGCAGCCTGGGCTGCAGGCCAGGGGAGCAGGCTGCACTCTGCCCTGGTAAGCCCCAGTCTGGGGGCCTGAGGAGCAAGGTCAGCCTCCCCTTCCCGTAGGAATAATAATTTGCACAAGTGCTGGGAAGGGGACTCAAAAGAGACCTGACTTGAGTCTCCTTGTTCTAGTCTCTGCCTCTGTTGGTCTGTGCTGGCCTCCCTTGTTTCATCTTTGTGGTTTACTGGTTAAGAGCATGGACCCACAAGGCCAAGTTCCAATCCCAGCTCTTCTACCTAGTGAGGTTACTTATGCAAATTACTTCCCCTCACTGTGCCTGGGTGTCCTCGGTACTGCAAATAACACTGCGCACCCCACAAGCCTTTTCGGTTCATGCATACGCAGCACTCAGAAGAGAGCCTGGACCATGCAGGCCCCATGCCTTCCTTCTGCCTTTATCTTCTCTTTTTTCTTACCGGTTCTGTTGCCTTTTAAATATGTCTCTTGCCTGCGGACATGTGCGGACACATGCTCATATCATTAATGGCCACTAGAGGACGCATGGCTTGGAGTCTGGCCCGTGGTGGGGTAGCCTGTCCTTGTAAGCAGTTTAGGCGGGGAGAGTCTGAGGATTCTCAGGGTGGGCATTCAGTTGTCCCGTCTCCCTTCCGACTGGTCCCTGGGAATCCTTTTGTGGAGACTGCTTCAGCATGCATGATCCCAAAGCTGGATCTCGCCAAAGGCTGTGAGGCCCTGCTCTGACTAGCCTGGGGTCTGGGTGGCAGCCTCCAGCAGCTCCCATACCCCCAGCTGGAAGACCCTGCAGGCTCTCCTACCCTGTGGACACAGCCCATGGCTAGACAGCCTGTTCACTCTCCATCTACAGCCACTTCTTGGCCTCTTTTGTTTTTTAAACATAGATGAAGACAACTTAGGTTTTATAGCGATATAAATGTGATTAATGCGCAATCCTTCAGAGGATCATTCTCCATGCAGACGGGCCTGTTTCTCAACAACCCTGGGTTGTAAAGCACATCATCATAAAGTGGACTGTTTTCCCATAGGAATGATGGTAGTAACCTGGGGAAAGCATTCCAGGTCAGTGATTCATACCAAGAGGCCATGCACCCAACCACAGTATGTCAAAAACAAGGCTCAGTAGCCAGCGAGGACAACTTGGGCCGATCTAAAAGGGACCCTTACCCGTTCACTGTTCCCAAACCTCAGTCATCGGACTTCTCTTCATAACTTGGCCACAACCACATTCTACTTATAATGACTATTTTACTCTGTATCAATGGCATCAATATGCTTAAAAGTTAGAGCCATCCTACAGAACACCACCCACGGATTCATGGGTTTGTTGTGCTGTTTTTCTCATTATATAAAAATATTTAAACACACAGTTATATAAAATTGTTAAATGTTTGCTAAATAGCATTGGCAGGGATTTGTACCATTATTTGGGAACACACAGATCCAGTTCTAATTTCCTGCCACAGATGGAGACCTGAAACCAAGAGAGGGGAAGGAAGGGTCTTAGGAAGGTCACACACGGACACTCTAGACCTCCTGACTCCCCGTTCAGAGTTCCTTCCCTCTGAGGTCAGGCTGGCCCATTATTGCCATCCTGATAAACAGGAAGAGAGGCATTGCGAGCACAGCAAAGGTGACCTTTATCGCCCTCTTGCCAGTTACAGTGAACAATATTCGTCTAAGTAGGGATCACTGCATTTGTCCCTTTAGGTGTTGAAGGGTTTCTGGAGAATGAACGAGTTGGTCGGTGTCTTTCACAGAAGCTGAAGTGGGAACTATTTTTTCTTGGGACGTATTTCCCTGTACTGGGCAAGGGTAATCAAGTTTCTCCCAAACCAGTGAGGACCAGCAGAGGCCAGCTGAAGACCCGGGGAGGAGGAGACAGGATGCGTGGGACAGAGTGGGCCGACGACCCTTGCAGCCTGCAGGATGGTGTTCTCTCCCACGCACATCACGGCTATGGGGACCTTGCGCCACTGGGCCTCCTGTCTGGTACCCCTGCCAGGGAGCACACAGTGAGCACCACG